CCAGTATGGTGCAAAGGATCAAAGCGGCGAAGGAGAAGTAGAAGGAGAAGCAGAAGAGTATGCAGGGCAACCATAATCAAGTTTAGACAGGACGAGAGAGGAATGCAAATAGAGGAGCATGCGCCTATCCGCTCCCCAAGAAGTATGGGACAAAACCTTAATTAGGTTAACGGCCTTAAAGCATTCAACACGGAGGTAAGAGACATGGGGCGACCAAGACAAACGAGTGTCAAAGAATAACCCCCAAAAGCTTCGTGGAATCTTTGTACTCAAGGGGATGACCATAAAGTGACAAAGTGGGACGAAGAACGACCCGCTTCCAAGTAAAAGTCATGGCACAAGTCTTAGTAGTAGAGAACTTGAAGCCATGATTGGTGGCCCAAGACGACACGGCATCAATCGCAAGTTGAAGCCGCCGTTGAAGGAGAGGCGAATCATCACCCCGACAGCAAAGAGTAAGATCATCAACATAAAGAGCGGAGAAGATGCCAGAAGGAAGGGAGGAAAGAAGACCATTGAGGGCAACCAGAAAAAGAGTAGTACTAAGAACACTACCGTGGGGTACACCTTCATACTGCCGAAAAGAGGCAGAGAGAGTAGTACCAAGTCTGACTTGAAAGGTACGACGAGAGAGAAAGCTTTGAAGGAAGAGAAGAAGATTACCACGAAGGCCAAAAGAACGAAGTTGGGACAGAATATGGTACCTTTAAAAGAATTACATCTGCGGCATATGCGAGGCTGGCTAACATCAGAACAGCCTTGAGGAACCTATGCAAGAAAATATTCAGGACCTTGTATACCACATATGTAAGATAAAAATGGGCAGAGTTTCTTTCACCCCGATGCCTCTGTTCACCTAGCAGTAAATAGTTACCTGGGAGTTAGACAGCTGCTACAGGCTGTTTTCTGTGGGTGTTTGTGTGTGTGTGTTCGTGTGTGGTAGAGAGAAATATATGTAGTAGACATATTAGAGGAAAAATAAATTGGTTAGAAAGGCGGGGTCCAAGAGCTAATAGCCCGATTCAGCAGACACAAATAGTAAATAGTAAAAATAGTAAATACACACACACACACTCCAGGGATATCCAATTGCCTAAGTATTGGGAACAGGTTGAGGGCAGAAAGTGGTGTCCCAGGATGTATGAAGGCAAAGGCAATTTTAAACGTAAATAAGATACAAGAAATAAGTATAAGTGAGTGAAGAACCTGTGTTGGAAAAGTTTATATTCCAAAACAAAAGAATGTCAATAACAAAGATGGCCGCCACCACGGGGTAGGACAACGCACTAACATTTGAATGTTTCAAATGATTCTCACCACAAGATAAAATGAAAGAAGGTTTTCTTGGCAGGTTAGAGATGTGACGGTAACGCGTTGGTGTTCGGCTGTTTAAGGCTAGGGGTATGGCCTCGTCACATAGTTATAAAAAAAAATAGAAAAACTGGAACTTCGTCTGTGGTAAGGTAAGGAGAAGACACACAAAACACAAGTAAAACTTTAACAATGAAATTTTAATTACGTTAAATAAATCAAAACATGAAAATAATGCACAAACAAATATGTATAATAAAATCAATCAATCAAAATAATAAGAATACTTAAATGACACAATGAAAAGTTACGTTAAGGCAAAATAACAAGAAGTGCAATACAACAGTAAGTGGGAGGTGCTGGAATATTGGCTTAAAGCCACCACCTCTCTCAGTACACTCTAGAGTCTAGCTGGGAGGTGTGCTGGCTACGAAAGCACGGAACATTCTGAAGACTGATGTTGGGGCGACCCCAGACATCGGGTAGTATTGGGGGGCGAGTGCAGGTGCAGCCAGACCGGCGACCAATCAGCGGAGCCGTAGCGATCAACGGGTAGTTTGGTGATTTGGGTCCGAACAGGTGGCGGGCTGCATACGTTTCTGCTCACCCTTGCTGGTGCTGGTGTTGTTGGCGTTGTTGGACATTTCTTCCATAGTCTTTTTATATAATTGTGAAGACGTAATTTTGGAGGGAAGAGCAGGCTCAATCTCTTGAAGGAGATTATCGTCACAGAGATTATTGAGGACCTGCTAAAGAATTATGAAGAAAAAGTAATTGAATTAGAACAAGAAAATGAAGCTCTCAGGATTGAGGTTCGCAATTTAAAAGGAAGTATTCTCCAGCAAGGTTAGAAAATTACCAACTTAACAGATAAGGTAAAGAAACAGAAGGAACAAATCAAGGAACTAGTGAAAGAAAATGAGGTATGGAAAGGGAAGAGTGGTGAACATGAAGAAATTAACAAGAAAATAGACTCATAGGGTGAAGAGCTCCAAGGTACTCTGAGGCTAACATGGAGTTAGGTAAGGATATGCAAAGAGAAACTTCATGGACAACTCAAATAGAGGAGGTTAATAAAGACCAAGAAAAGTACAAAGAGGAAATAAAAGAGACGTATGCGCAAGTTGTAAAGGAGAAAGAGACGATCAAGGAAGTGCGTTTGGAAGTCAAAACCAGAAATGACCAACAAGAAGCAGAAATGAAACAAGCAGTTAGGAAACAACTGGTAACCAACAGTAAACTGGTAGAAAACACTGCAGATAGAAGTAAGTCCATAATAATGTTTGGTTGTTTAGAGAAGGAAATATCATCTAGGGTGGACAGGTGCAGCAGAAGACATGACAATCTTAAGATAAAATAGTAGGATTAGGAGGCCTACATTCAAGGAAAAATGTCAGTGATTTTAGGAGGATGGGAAAACATGAGAAAGACAAGAACTGCCCCTAAAGGGTGACGTTTAATGGAGTGAACAAATGACGAAAGTGCCTAAAAATGCCGGGAAATTCCAGAGTGATGAGGATGGCAAACTTTGGTCAATAAGACAAGACCTCTCAAATGAAGACAGAGAAAGGCTAAAACTAAACCTCGATGAAGGGAAACGTCTAAATGGGAATAAAACTGAAGAAAGAAATTATATTTTCTAGAAAGTGTTAGGGACTGGAAAGCTTGCGAAATGCTACATTAAAACAAAGCAACAAAATCATTAGAGGAAGCGGAGGTAAAGAACAAAGGGAATGGGAACAGGTTTCTGAAAATTGCATATACCAACATAGATGGAGTGAGATAAGAAATGCTGGAGCTAATAGATATAATTCAACTCAAGGTCCCAGATATTGTCGCATTAACAGAGACGAAACTTGAAGAAAATATTTTAAATGAGGTCGTATTCCCAAGGGGCCGCATTATTACTCAGTTTGGGGACGTGGCAGGAAAATTAGGAAGGGGGAGGAGTGGCTGTGCTGGTGAAAGAACACCTGAAGGTAAGAGAGTTAATAATCGAAAAACCCTCGAGAAGTTGACATAATGGCATGCAGGTCTGGAATCAGAATGATACTGATAACCGTAAACACCTGTGTAAGGAATCATTCAGAATCTTGTATACCACATATGTAAGACCAATCCTAGAGTATGCGGCCCCAGCATGGAGCTCGTACCTTGTCAAGCACAAGACGAAGCTGGAAAAAGTTCAGAGGTATGTCACTAGGCTAGTCCCAGAACTAAGAGGCATGAGTTACGAGGAAAGGCTGCGGGAAATGCACCTCACGACACGGGAAGACATGATCACTACCTACACAATTCTCAGAGGAAATGACAGGTTAGATGAGGATAAACTAACATGGGTGGTACATGAACAAGGGGGACACAGGTGGAGACTGAGTACCCAAATGAGTCACAGGGACGTTAGAAAAAACTTTTTTAGTGCGAGAGTAGTTAACAGATGGAATGCATTAGGCAGTGATTTTAGTGGGCCAGCCAGAGGCTTAGGGCCCGCGCAGAAATTTCCTTGCAAAAAAATAAAAAAAAAGTGATGTGGTGGAGGCTGACTCCATACACAGTTTCAAATGTAGATATGATAGAGCCCAGTAGGCTCAGGAACCTGTACACCAGTTGATTGACAGTTGAAAGGCGGGACCAAAGAGCCAGAGCTCAACCCCCTCAAGTACAACTAGGTGAGTACACACAGCCCCGCACACACATGACACACTGGACACATCATACACGTTCACTCCTCACGTGACAAAACATGGGGAGGATTGACTGGGAACCAATCCATAACTTTTCGCCCCTCTTTACCCAGCAATAATTGGAGACCTTGGAGTAATTCATGAAATAATCCATACTAGTGTGTGAGTAGGAGGTGATTATCCATCGAGATGCCAGGTTAGTGGCGAGTCTGGCATTTCCATTATTATGTATTTCCAATACATAAAGCCCATCATTGGAGGCTATGTAGTCTCATTAGTAACATACACGGGCGCCTCGAACATTAGCGGATATCAACTTCTAATTCTAGTTTTGGATATATTGATGTATGTTTGTTTGGTATGAAGTGCTTGTGCTATGTCAACTCTCTTACTACCACAGTATCTGTTGATAATGTTGGTGGTGGTGGAGGATGGTCCCTCTGATAACGGTGTGTCTGGCTGGTGATGTGATCTCTCCCTCCATCTTCTCCCTCCGTCTTCCTCTCCTCCTCCTTCACCAGTTATCCTTCTCCTCCTCCTCCTCTTCCACACACGTGTCCTCTTCCCTGCTGCTCGTGAGGGCGTCGTTAAGGCGCCTGAGAGCCGCCCCGCCCCTTAACCTCACATAATATCCTCCACTTAAAACCTCGTTTTAGCATTATTTTACAAATGGCCAATTTGTCTTACTTTCTGGATGCGTCCTTATGTGAGTCTTGACTGTTGCTGTTGGTGCGGCGTCTGGCCGCGTCTTGGGGTCCTCTAGCTCAGTGGTCTTCGTCCTCGGCTCACAACCAAGTGACCCCAGCTTCAGTCCTCGGAGGAAAGGGTAGGGAAATATCTGGAGAAAGTGCCAAGCCGTTACAACTATATGGCACTTGGAAGGGATCAGGATAAGGATTTGGGGTGGGACGGGGGGAGGAATGGACAGATACTTGAGCGTTTTTCTTTACCTATGATGCCACTGTTTATGTGAGAGACTGTAGGTGGCTGAGAGTTAGCCAACTGTTGTGGCCAGCACGTCAGTATCCTGGTAATCAGTTACGTGCTTGGGCAGTGATGGCAAACCTCAGGTACCGTGGTGCTGTACCTCGCAGCTGTGTACCATGGTGCTGTACCTCGCAGCTGTGTACCATGGTGCTGTACCTCGCAGCTGTGTACCATGGTGCTGTACCTCGCAGCTGTGTACCACCTCGCAGCTGTGTACCGTGCTGTACCTCGCAGCTGTGTACCGTGGTGCTGTACCTCGCAGCTGTGTACCATGGTGCTGTACCTCGCAGCTGTGTACCGCTGTACCTCGCAGCTGTGTACCTCGCCGTGGTGCTGTACCTCGCAGCTGTGTACCATAGTGCTGTACCGTGGTGCTGTACCTCGCAGCTGTGTACCGTGGTGCTGTACCTCGCAGCTGTGTACCGTGGTGCTGTACCTCGCAGCTGGCTGTGTACCATGGTGCTGTACCTCGCAGCTGTGTACCATGGTGCTGTACCTCGCAGCTGTGTACCGTGGTGCTGTACCTCGCAGCTGTGTACCGTGGTGCTGTACCTCGCAGCTGTGTACCGTGGTGCTGTACCTCGCAGCTGTGTACCATAGTGCTGTACCTCGCAGCTGTGTACCATGGTGCTGTACCTCGCAGCTGTGTACCGTGGTGCTGTACCTCGCAGCTGTGTACCATGGTGCTGTACCTCGCAGCTGTGTACCATAGTGCTGTACCTCGCAGCTGTGTACCGTGGTGCTGTACCTCGCAGCTGTGTACCATGGTGCTGTACCTCGCAGCTGTGTACCATGGTGCTGTACCTCGCAGCTGTGTACCGTGGTGCTGTACCTCGCAGCTGTGTACCATGGTGCTGTACCTCGCAGCTGTGTACCATGGTGCTGTACCTCGCAGCTGTGTACCATAGTGCTGTACCTCGCAGCTGTGTACCATGGTGCTGTACCTCGCAGCTGTGTACCGTGGTGCTGTACCTCGCAGCTGTGTACCGTGGTGCTGTACCTCGCAGCTGTGTACCATAGTGCTGTACCTCGCAGCTGTGTACCGTGGTGCTGTACCTCGCAGCTGTGTACCGTGGTGCTGTACCTCGCAGCTGTGTACCGTGGTGCTGTACCTCGCAGCTGTGTACCATAGTGCTGTACCTCGCAGCTGTGTACCATGGTGCATGGTGCTGTACCTCGCAGCTGTGTACCGTGGTGCTGTACCTCGCAGCTGTGTACCGTGGTGCTGTACCTCGCAGCTGTGTACCATAGTGCTGTACCTCGCAGCTGTGTACCATAGTGCTGTACCTCGCAGCTGTGTACCATGGTGGTGCTGTACCTCGCAGCTGTGTACCGTGGTGCTGTACCTCGCAGCTGTGTACCGTGGTGCTGTACCTCGCAGCTGTGTACCGTGGTGCTGTACCTCGCAGCTGTGTACCGTGGTGCTGTACCTCGCAGCTGTGTACCATGGTGCTGTACCTCGCAGCTGTGTACCATAGTGCTGTACCTCGCAGCTGTGTACCATAGTGCTGTACCTCGCAGCTGTGTACCATGGTGCTGTACCTCGCAGCTGTGTACCGTGGTGCTGTACCTCGCAGCTGTGTACCGTGGTGCTGTACCTCGCAGCTGTGTACCATAGTGCTGTACCTCGCAGCTGTGTACCGTGGTGCTGTACCTCGCAGCTGTGTACGAGCCACGAGTGCCAACGACCCAACATAATTACCGTTAACAATCTGGCAGTAATTCCCAGCTCATATACCGTGTAGTGCAGACAGTGACGCCAGTATTAAGGAGAGATGTAGAGGTTTCGTAAGAGGTTAATGAGTCGTGGCCTGTGTGATCACTTCCAGGTCCGCTCCTTCTGTTGCTCCTTGCTTTGAACAATGCTCTGTTGACGAGTTTGTGATTTTACTGAAGGATCGTAGATATTGTTGTCATGTCCTCACTGTTCCGTCTCTCTTTCAGTTCTCGGGGAATATGAGGACGTCTCGGGAACATGACGAGTGCCAGGAGAATGTGACAGTGTCACCAGAACATGAAGGTGATATGAAGAAGCCACGAGATCACAAAAGTGGAATGAAAACATGAGGAGTGCCAAGAGAACATGAGTGGCACGAAAACATGAGTGTCACAAGAACATGACGAGTGCCAGGTGGACATGACGAGTGCCACGAGAACACATGAGAGTGCCATGAGGTCACATACCAAAGTAATCAAAGCGAAACTAGACCACGGTGTTTTAAGTGTATATATCAGTGCCACTAAAGTGCCAACTAAGAATACTAGCCAACAAGTGTCAGCTAAAGTTAAACAGCGTCCTGAAGGCACTTAAGAACAGCGCCACTGGATCAAACTGGCGCAGATGACCACTGACAGAGAACTGTGAGAGTGTCAAGCATGAGTAACTAAGAATAAAGTGCCACACGGCCATGAGGAGACCCCCGGGGGCCCTCATATGAGCTGGGACGGGTCCCTGTGACCACCTCACAGCTGAGGCTCTCAACTCATAAGAGCGCCAAGATGAGGTGCCACTAGCAGCCATGAAGATGAGGGCCCGGTGGCAGAAGACCTTCAGGAAGTTTCGTCTCACTCAGTGGGGTAAGTCAGCTATGGTTCAGTAAGTCAGCTATGGTTCAGTAAGTTAGCTATAGTTCAGTAAGTCAACTATGGTTCAGTAAGTCAACTATGGTTCAGTAAGTCAACTATGGTTCAGTGAGTCAGCTATGGTTCAGTAAGTCAGCTATGGTTCAGTAAGTCAACTATGGTTCAGTAAGTCAACTATGGTTCAGTAAGTCAACTATGGTTCAGTAAGTCAACTATGGTTCAGTAAGTCAACTATGGTTCAGTAAGTCAACTATGGTTCAGTAAGTCAGCTATGGTTCAGTAAGTCAGCTATGGTTCAGTAAGTCAGCTATGGTTCAGTAAGTCAACTATGGTTCAGTAAGTCAACTATGGTTCAGTAAGTCAACTATGGTTCAGTAAGTCAACTATGGTTCAGTAAGTCAACTATGGTTCAGTAAGTCAGCCATGGTTCAGTAAGTTAACTATGGTTCAGTAAGTCAACTATGGTTCAGTAAGTCAGCCATGGTTCAGTAAGTCAGCCATGGTTCAGTAAGGGACACAGAGGGTGAGGGGACACAAGAGGAATGAGGGGACACAAGAGGAATGAGGGGACACAAGAGGAATGAGGGGACACAAGAAGGGTGGTGGCTTACACAAGTGTAAGTCACTAAAGTGCAAGCCAGGAAAGTGTAAGTCCCCAAAGTGTAAGCCACCAAAGTGTAAGCCACCAAAGTGTAAGCCACTAAAGTGTAAGCCAGGAAAGTGTAAGTCACCAAAGTGTAAGTCACCAAAGTGTAAGTCCCCAAAGTGTAAGCCAGGAAAGTGTAAGTCACCAAAGTGTAAGTCCCCAAAGTGTAAGCCACTAAAGTGTAAGCCAGGAAAGTGTAAGTCCCCAAAGTGTAAGCCACCAAAGTGTAAGCCACCAAAGTGTAAGCCACTAAAGTGTAAGCCAGGAAAGTGTAAGTCACCAAAGTGTAAGCCAGGAAAGTGTAAGCCAGGAAAGTGTAAGCCACCAAAGTGTAAGTCCCCAAAGTGTAAGCCAGGAAAGTTTAAGTCCTCAAAGTGTAAGTCACCAAATTGTAAGTCACCAAAGTGTAAGCCAGGAAAGTGTAAGTCCCCAAAGTGTAAGTCACCAAAGTGTAAGTCACCAAAGTGTTAGCCACCAAAGTGTTAGCCACCAAAGTGTAAGTCACCAAAGTGTAAGCCACCAAAGTGTAAGTCAGGAAAGTATAAGTCACCAAAGTGTAAGTCACCAAAGTGTAAGTCACCAAAGTGTAAGTCAGGAAAGTGTAAGTCACCAAAGTGTAAGTCACCAAAGTGTAAGCCAGGAAAGTGTAAGTCACCAAAGTGTAAGCCACCAAAGTGTAAGCCAGGAAAGTGTAAGTCACCAAAGTGTAAGTCAGGAAAGTGTAAGTCACCAAAGTGTAAGTCACCAAAGTGTAAGCCAGGAAAGTGTAAGTCACCAAAGTGTAAGTCACCAAAGTGTAAGCCAGGAAAGTGTAAGTCACCAAAGTGTAAGTCCCCAAATTGTAAATCCCCAAATTGTAAATCCCCAAAGTGTAAGTTACCAAAGTGTAAGTTACCAAAGTGTAAGTTACCAAAGTGTAAGCCAGGAAAGTGTAAGTCACCAACGTGTAAGTCCCCAAAGTGTAAGTAAGTAATTATCAAAAGAAGGCACCAAACCGGAAAGGCTATGTAGCACCATCAAAGTGCGGAATAATCAGAGGGCGCTAAATATCACCAAGGATGCAAATATGAGAACAAAAACACATAAGGCGAACGATATCAAAAGTATCCGAGTCACCAAGAATTCTATCGAGGGACAGGTGACCGCGAGGGGCGGTCGGAAAGCAAGACACACGCTCGTCCTGGAAGTCAGGACATTCAAGAAGGACATGCACGACCGTAAGAGGAATAATGCAACTAGGACAATAAGGAGCAGGGTGGCGCTCTATCAAGTGACCATGGGTTAAGCGAGTATGGCCAATACGCAACCTCGCCAGAGCCGTTTCCCATCGCTGGTTACAGTGGTAGGAGGACGGCCACGAGGAAACACAACATTTAAGAGTAAAAAGTTTGTTACCAGTAATAGACGACCAAGAAGCCTGCCAACGGGTAAGGATGGAGAAATGGATAACCAGGTAAATATTGGAATATGGAATACCTTTACGAGAGATGGGACAAGAGCGGACAGCTTCCTTGGCGGCAGCATCCGCACGCTCATTTAAAGACACACCAATATGGCTGGGAACCCAACAAAACTGAACCGACTTAAATTTACTATGAACAAGAAACAGCCAATGCTGGATCTCGACAACTACTGGATGAACCGGTATAAGGACCTGAGAGCCATGAGGGCACTACGAGAGTCAACAACAACTACAAAGGAAGACTGACAACGAGAAAGCATGAGACGAAGAGCATAGAGAATAGCATAAAGCTCCGCTGTGAAGATGCTAGTCTCCGGAGGTAAGCGACACATATCAGTGCGATCAGGAAAAACAACAGAGTAGCCAACACCGTCCGCAGACTTAGACCCATCGGTGAAGACAGAAACGGAGCGGGAGTGAGAAGAAAAGTGCTCAAGGAAAAGGCGTTTTAGAACCGTAGGAGGGGTAAAAGCTTTAGTGATGCGGGTCAAGGATGTACAAAACTGCGGAAGGGGGACTCTCCATAGGGAAAAGAAGGAACAACATGAGGAGAAACATTAGAAATACGAACGGAAAGAGAATCCTGTAAGCAAGATAACCGGACAGAAAGAGGGAGGTGGTGAAGAGGAACAGGAACCGCAGGAGGGGTAAAAGTTAAAGCACGACAGAGGCGAGAGGAAGGATGTTGTAAGGACCGCGCAAGATAGCGAAGACAGTAGCGATCACGGCGGTCCTGGAGAGACAGGAAGCCAGTGTCAACATACAAGCTAAGGACGGGAGTCGAACGAAAGGCACCAGAACTGAGGTGCAACCCAGTATGGTGCAAAGCATCAAGATGGCGAAGAGTAGGAGAAGGAGACGAGTAAGCAGGGCACCCATAATTGAGCTTAGACAGGGCGAGAGAGGAATGTAAAGCAAGGAGTGCGCGCCTATCCGCTCCCCAAGAAGTATGGGACAAAACCCGAAGGAGGGTAAGGGCCTTAGAGCACTAAACACGAAGGTAAGAGATATGGGGAGACCAAGACAAACGAGAGTCAAGGAATAACCCCAAAAGCTTCGCGGAATCTTTGTACTCAAGGGGATGACCATAAAGTGACAAAGAGGGACGAAGAACGACCCGTTTCCGAGTAAAAGTCATGGCACAAGTCTTAGAAGTAGAGAACTTGAAGCCATGATCGGTGGCCCAAGACGACACGGCATCAATCGCAAGTTGAAGCCGGCGCTGAAGGAGAGGCGAATCATCACCCTGACAGCAAAGGGTAAGATCATCAACATAGAGAGTGGAGAAGACACCTGAAGGAAGAGAGGAAAGAAGACCATTGAGGGCAACCAGAGAAAGAGTAGTGCTCAGAACACTACTCTGGGGCACACCTTCGTATTGGTGAAAAGAGGCAGAGAGAGCGGTACCAAGCCGCACCCGAAAGGAACGACGAGAGAGGAAGCTGCGGAGAAAGAGAGGGATATGACCATGAAGGCCAAAAGAATGAAGCTGGGATAGAATATGATATTGCCAAGTGGTGTCGTAAGCCTTTTCCAGGTCAAAAAGGACGGCAACAACGGAGGTCTTCGCAGCAAAAGCAGTACGAATATAGACCTCCAAGTTCACCAGGACATGTCATGCTGCGGCACTTGCGGAAACCAAATTGAGAAGGGGAGAGGAGGTGATGGTGTTCCAGGAACCACATCAGACGAACGTTAACCATACGTTCAAAGAGTTTGCAGACACAACTTGTGAGGGCAATAGGGCGAAAGTCCTTAGGGGATGTTCCCAGAGACCCCGGTTTGCGAACAGGGAGGACAACGGCATCGAGCCAGTCCTCAGGGACTGACGACGACTCCCAGATCCGATTATACAGACTCAGTAAATACTGAGACGTGCACAGAGGGAGATGGCGAAGTATTTCATAATGAATACCATTGGAGCCCCTCGCCGTAGAACCGCAGAGGGCCAGGGCAGAACAAAGTTCAGAGAGAGAGAGAGAAGGGATCGTTATAGGGAAGTCGAAGATGAGTGCAGAAATCTAAAGGACGAGACTTGTCGGAAAATCCGACACCATTTAATAATAATATCATACAGACAGATAAGAGCTGTGTTGTATAAACAAGTTAACCATAGGAAACGTAACTTGTAGTGGAATTACCGTCTATAGAAAACGGGATATCATCACCACATACTATTATGTTCTCCACCTATTATGGTGGGAATTATTCTTAAATACATTAGTCTTTGGACTTTACCATCATAAAAACATCTTATATAAATTAACTTAATTATCAATATTAAAGTAGAGTAAATGTGACCCTTCTATCACTTTCTGAAATCTGGACAATGTAAGCCAGGCGTCAGTGGAGGAAGGAGGGCAGCCATTGTTGTTTATACTAGACCAGAGGCTCACACGGGAGCAAATTCGGCTCCTGTTAATTTTACTTGGACGAAGTGTTATGGAAACCAAAGGTGTACCATTATCACACGCTGTCAACAAATTCAAGTTAAGTGTCTATCCGAAACCCGTTTATCATTCATTTATGGCCATTAATGTCAGGATATAGGGTGACCCGGTTAGATCACAAAATCGCCTCAAACTAAAGGTAATTAAGCCAGGTCTTTATTGTTCCATGTATAGTGTTTTCTCTGATATAGCTTGTCATATATAGAACCTGGCTTCACAGCTAGCGCCCTTTTGACAGGTCAAGACGAGGAAGCAAGGACTTTGTGCACCAGTTACTGGGTGATGGAAGCTACCTCAAAGAGGATAATTTGGTGTCTACACCCTAGTTATACCTGGTGGACTAACCTGCTGTACTATAAGATAAGGAACCTCTTCAATGTATGTAGTCTATTACTGTAGTTTGATTGGCTGCATATATATTAATTTAATAAACCCCCCCTAATGTGTAGAGGATCGATTTGTGAGATTAAGAGATTATTGCAGAAATACAGTCCACTTATCATTATACAAATTGCTATCGAATTATATAAATTAACGTAAATATAAATTCATATAAATTAAATAAATATAAATCTCACAGGTCGGTTCCCACATTATTTGGTCATCTTCGAACCGGATGACGGATTATTTGATCCTTTGAACCCACATTTGGTCATCTTAGTACCGGATGAACCAGTTAACCAGTGGATTCATTAAATATACTAGTGCAGTGTGATTTAAACAAAGCCAGCAGTCATTGACGGCGGCGTTGACTCGTGCGAGTTCACGAGCCCCACTCAGTTCAGATCAGCTTCGTCAGCGGTTTCATGCACACCCACAGAGATTTGGTGGCGTGTTATTCTGTGAAATGACAGCGCTAATATAGAAGCCAGCCAAATTAGTGACTGTGTCTTCGCGATATTGTTCACGGATTTCGTGGTGTTACATTTCGCGAGAGATTATCTACGAATTTTGTGGACTTTATTTCGCGAGGTCACTAATAATATTTAATACTTCTTGATAATATTAGAAGTTTCATAGAGGCTAATTAAGAGGCTATTATCAATAATTGTGTATATTATTTCTCCAAAATAGAGAATTATTTAATATATTGCACTAGTGATCACAGTATAATATTTACTAATTGCCAACCCACAACAGGGTAGGATATGACTAGTTGAACTATTATTGCTCATCCTAGTCCCATTATTACCATAGTCAGTTGTACTATATTCAACAACCTAACACCATTAATGAATGGTGCAGACCCTATTTTGGGTGTAATTTTTATCAACTCGAGTTGAGTTGTATATATAATAATTTACTTATGATCATTACACCTTTGAGTGATTAATTAGTGTCTCTACCATCCTAGGGTGATATAGAAGAGCTAACCTAAAGGTACTTCCAGTGACACTGGTTTATCACTCAAATCATTAGTGTGTATGATTGTATATATATAATGCGTATTAATTTTAAGTGCTAACCTCTAGTAGAGGTAGGATTATTGCCTAGTGAGTGCAGAATTTGACCCTAGGCTACCATCAGTGCTTGTTCAGTATTATGAGCAGCCCAAGTACAAGCCCCACAAGGCTTCACCAACTAGCTAGTATGGATAATGCTGGCAATGAGAAAACTGTCATACATCTAGTACTACAATTGCTGGATTTACCTCAACCTGATCAGACTGCTGACTCATTACAATCCTTCAGCATGGAGTTTGAGTCACTACTAAGAATATTCAGTCTTAAGGTTGATATAACTACTAGTGAATGGATGACCAAAGTAGTCCTTCAACGAAAATTGTCCAGCGATATACTAGATGAATTATATGCACATCAACATAACACCATCCTGACAGTACAGGACATCACTGAAGGTTTACATTCCATCATAAACAAACGACGAGCAAATGAGGAAGTTAAAGCCTCTTGCAAGCCTTCAGAAATAGAAAATAAGAGTCAATTAAAGGGTAAAACAACTACCCCAAATAAACATCAGTCAATTACTCTAACATCAAGTTGCAGAAAATCTGACAATGCAGCAGCAACCTCCAAGCCTACTGTTACT